ACCTGACTAGATATCCTGGGAGATGGTGGACGGACCGGGTCCGTAGGGAACCCTACTGGGAACGTGGTCTCTCATACCGAACGGGGTATGGAGACCTTATGTGTTTTGGCGCCTATACCGGACTAGGTATGGGGACGGCCCGTTTCACCCTCATACCGGACGGGGTATTGAGATTTATGGTTTTGGCGCCCATACCGGACGGGGTATGGAGACGGTCCTGGAATCAGGTTAGTAATGTTCATGGTTCACGTGTAACGGGAACCCCCTATGGATCCCCATGGTTACTAGTAGGCTGGTAAAAGATGAAATTTATTGTCTGATTATTGAAGTGCAAAAGTGGGACATGTATTCTGTTACAAAGTGTATATGATTTTATGATGATTATCATGTTATTGTTTTCATAGGTTATTTTTATGAATCTCACCGAGATAAGTGGACAGTAAAAGTTTTTATGTTAATAAATAAGTTTGTTATAAATTATGCTCCATTGGCCGTTTTTGTTTTCTACCGACCTTTACTTCTGTGGCAATGAGATAGTGTGATGTCTTTACTGGGCTAGTGTAACCCTTTCCTTACTTAACCATTTCAGATCAGGAAGACGTGGTTCCCGAGCTCGTTCCGCAGGAAGACGGCGAGTTAGACGCCTAAGGACCTTATAGCTCTATTTATAGTTTTTATTTCGAGTATCTCTTTTAAATTAATTTATTCTTTCATGTTTTAAGTACGTTTTTTATCATTGTGTAAGGAATATTAATTAAAAATTTTATTACGCTTCAACATTTAAGATTATGAATACATATATCTTCATTTAAATTCCAGGGTCGTTACATTTCTAATACATGCTTCAAATTAATAATACAATGTACATGTTTGGAGGAAATTCTAAATTTGTATTGGAATTTATTTATAAGGTCACATTTATTTCAACTTAAAAATTATAAAAATTACAAATTAAATGATAAAAATTAGAGTTAATATAAAACTAGAATAATACATGATAGAATCCGTATTTGCCTAATCCCGTATGAAATTTTACATACGTATATACTTTACCTTTGCCATCATCATATAATTTACAACTATTTTGCAAATAAATGTCCCATCATTTCTAAATTTATTCCAAATATAACCTAATTTTTAATCTTGATGACTTTGTCAAAACAAAATCACCTTGTACAAAATCCTTAATCTACATGCATGCCATTGAGTTGGATTCAGCTAACTCAGTTCTATAAACTGTACAAAATGAGTGTAATTTCAATTTTGAATTATACACCTAGTCATCTGTTCTGCTTGGTGTGTAAGTAGACACCATATGCTTATAATGATGGGGCACAAAAAATGGGAAAAAAAATAGATGTAAGGGAACGGATTCCCTCTGGACAAAAGAGTAAAACATATAGACTCAGTTACAACACTTTCTCCTCTTTCCGGTTGCCAAAAACCTCGGCAGATTTACCTTTAAATAGCTGATCTATTGATTGCCCTATTGACAAAGGTTTGAAACTGCTAAGGAACTTCCGATTTGAGCCCATATTGGAGCCTTTATCAGTTTTCTCTGTCCCAGAACTTTTAACAGATACTAAGGACTTGGAATTGAAAATTGAATAGCTAAAAGAAGCATCACCTGCACCAAATGACACAGGCCCAACTGCTCCATCTTGATGTGGAGGAGGAAATTTCTCGCTCTTGCTCTTGGCATTTGTTTGTGCCATGACTCGCCACCTCTGGAAAAAACACACAAAACTAAGAATCTATTCGAAAAAGTTTCTTCCAGAAAAATGGCGATACGTATTCTGATGACCTAAGCGCAGATGTCAATAAAATAAGATATCAAATCATGTATGATGCGCAAGCCAAAGAAATTTTAAATTCTGAGCTCATTAAGGAAGTTAGACATCATGTAATGCATTATCACAAGCCAAAGAAATTTTCGAAACTCAAACTCAAATAAAGAGAC